CACAAAAAGTTTCATCTGTACTCGACGAGTGAGTCTCTTGAAATAAAAAACAGTTTGATTTCTGTCCTTTGGAAAACAGAAATGCTTTCCTTTTCATATTGTCTTTTAAACCTCTAACATTAAGTGAACCAAATGAAATTTTCTCATTTAACATAAAAAACAACAACTATTAAAGAAGAAAAGAATGAAAAAGGATTTAACCCCAAGATCGTTAGAACAACTAACAAGAAATGTTTTTCAGTAAGCAAGCTTAAACTGAAGAACTGCATTTGCAAGTCCCTTTAAATATCCTGCTTCTCCATCTTGTTTGGCATGCGTACCTTCCATTCCGATCTGGCGCCCATCAATATATCCAAAGGGGCCACAAAAATATACCACCTTTCTGACTTTTCTGGCTTGATCGATGAGTGGCGACGATTTTTCTCCTCCCAGTCCTCTTTGGGGAACATTTCAGCAAACTTGATGCCCAGTTCTTTGCAGTAGGTAGATTTTTTCCTCCAGATTTCTTCCTTCATTCTTCTTTAAGTTAAGAGAACAATGACGTTTCTGTTTTTGTTTTCCATCTTCCTTCCCAGTCTGAGTACAATATCCACTGCCTCCTCCAGCCTCGACTCAAACTCAGGAACGATGTGCTTTAGAGTCTGTATGACTACAGCCCTGCTATCTTCATCTTTCTCCTCCTTCAAGCCTTTTATACAAAGGCCCCATCTCATTCTGTATCTCTCCTGCTCACTGAACCTCGTTTTAAGGTCAACATTCTCCTCTTGTAGTTGAACATTTTGCTTTTCCAGCTCTTTCACTTTTGCCTTGCACTCTTTAACTTCGTTAGCATTAAACTCCACTGCTTTGGCTAGGCTATAGCATAACACTGCTACGTGTCACCTGTTGCTCAATAGTGTCAACTTTCTCTCCAAGCGACATACTTTTCATTATATCTCTGAGAGAAACGTCTTCCTCTCCTTCCTCTTCAACTGTCCAGAGTCGTTTTTCCCTGGTGTCTTACTTGGAGTTGAAGGTGCAGAGACATCTCTTTCCCTTTTATTTTGAGTGGAGAGCTCTATAGAGGAGCCGTGGTCTTTGTTTGAAGCTTCTTTCTTTTTTGAGTCAACTTTAAGTTTGAGAACTTTATTAGTGTTCTGGGAAGACATGTCAGTCTTTTTGTTGGAGAAATAGCTTAAGTAATAGGTGAAATTTAGGACTTGCTATGCGAGCTCCAGAAAACACGACCGCTCAATCCGCCATCTTATCCCACCTCTCACCCTGCGAGGTTCTTGATGCTGGACCTTATGGCCTTTTATTACAAAATGGAAACAAATCTTTGGTCACAGCGTGTCATCTGTTTATAGGCTCCTAAAAGAGAAGCCAAAATCCTCTACAAATATACATTATCAGTATTATTTTACACACATAAAATTACAGAGGAATATATGGAAGCCCATTTCCATCATGAAAGAAAAAATAAAAGCCCAACAGGAAGTCATAGTTTTGAGTTTTAAAGCCATAATTACAAGAATAAAAGTCAAAATTACGAGTTTTAAGGCCATAATTACGAGAATAAAAGTCATAATTATGAGAATAAAAGTCATAATTATGAGTTTTAAAGTCATAATTTCAACTTTTCGAATTTAATTTCAAAGTTTGTCTCTTGCCGGACACCGTGACTCTACTGGGATTGGGACGCAACTTCCTGTCAAACACCGCAAGTTTTCCTGCATAGCACATGGATTCATTCAATTTTTACATCCCTCTGCCTTCAAACATCAATCCTTTTAAATAAAGGTATGTAATGTATACATCTTTTCATTGTCAATTATAGTATTTAGTATCGAAGCCCATTTCTGCTATGAAATAAAAGTCCAACAGGAAGTCATAATTTTGAGTTTTAAAGTCATAATTATGCGTTTTAAAATCATAATTATGAGAATAAAACTCATAATTATGAATTTTATTCTAGTAATCATGACTTCAAAAGTCATAATTATGACTTCCTGTTGGGCTTTTATTTTTTCTTTCATGGCGGAAATGGGCTTCCATATTGGAACAAGACAATAAACTTGAAAAAAATAAAAACAATGTGTTGGTGTTGTTTTCAGTCATCCAGGATTAGGTAAATTAAAAAAAAGGTTAAAAAATAAAAAAAATAAAACTGAACAACTAGACTTGTACTGAAGGTGAAGATGTTCCTCTCGTCAAGGGAGCTTTCACATCTTATTCAAATATTCTGCTTTGGAGTGGATTGCCTTTTATTTCTTACTTTAATTACCAGTGACCGGTAACTATTTATTTTTGGAGCTATGGGCTACCCTATCCTTTGTATTATATTCTTCAAACACAATTTGCCTTTTGGTTTCTCTCATAGTGCAGTATTACAAGCTGTTGTTTATAAAACTGAAACTGCATTTCAACCAGAAATATGTGGCTGCTCATCCAGCTTATCTGCTGACTTTCTTTTATAGATTATAATGGGAATAGCCAAAATGAAGAAAAAAAAAAACCGATGAGCTATTTGGATTTTCAAGCACAAAACTGTTTTGTTTGCTGCCTTATTATTTTTTTCATTTTCTTATTTTATAAGGAGCTTATTGTTCTCCTTAGCTGCCCTCACGCAATCCTTTACAATGCTTTATCTCTTTACAGTATGTGCCTTTGGTGGAATCTCACTTTAAGGTCAATAAATAGAAACCTGTTAGACCTGGTTCCTTAAAGATGTTTAAAATCTGAGTCAATGATGTTTGGAAGCTTTTTCTTGTATATTTCTTTTTAACTTTACACAGCTACTTCAGGGTTATTTGGGTTAATATTTATCTTCTTTGGTATGTAACTTTTACATTTAAGGTTGGAATTAAATCAAATCTGAATTTTGATCTGAAAAAGTAAGACATTCTATATTGTTTGTGTGGGGAAAAAAATGTACATATCAGTGACATAGGTGCTTTCATATAACAGTTTTTGGCATATATATAAACATGAACTCAAAATGTAAATACTTTAATGACAGCTTTTATGACCAAATTTCAACAAAGTCAGGGAGACTAATGACGGTGAAAATTTGAGACAAAGAGTCAGACTTTTTATTCAAGCCCTTATAATTTTGGCGAAGTAACTCAAATCATTGGAGCAAACAAAATAGTGTTTTAATCAATAATGCTACGTCAAGTTACAGAACATTTTTAATTTCTTCCATCAACAAACACAAATTCTGATCAATGACATATCTGGACTCCAGCTTTGCTGATTTTCATCTTCTCTGGCACTTTGAAACTTTGTGATGATGTGAAGTGTAGAAGCAAGCTGTCTGTGTAGAGTGTAGTGCAGAGGCTGGATATTATTTGTGTGTTTGAGTCAACAATCTTTTTTAAGTTTTTTTGGCCAAAGGAGCGAGCTCAGGACCAAGCAGGAATGTGCTGGGGGGGTTAACACCTCCCCCAATCCATCCTGCCCCCTCTGAAGCTAAGGTCATGCGCTGCACCTTACAACAGGCACACTGCTCCAAATCAATTGCAAGACTCACTTCTAATAGTTTAGTTACACCCTGTTTTATTGCATCTTTAGAAATCAGTTTAAATAAAGGATCAATGGAATCAAAGAAAGAGGTGAGTTTATTACAACAAACAGCAAGTTTAGCTTTGGTTTCTCATCATTTGGATTTCTTAATGTGGCTTTTCTCCAACAATAAAGAGATTTAGTCAAAAGCTGTGCAGTGATGCATTTACATATTTTTATCTGTGTGCATGTGTTTGTGTGGAGGGGTGGGGGTTGGGGCTTTTGCTGTTTATCTTTCACTTGCAGGTGCTTTAGACTTTAGACATTAACCGTTAGGTTTTTGTTTAATTTATTTGTTATTTCTTGCATTTAGGGCTCAAACATCTTGCTGTAAAGCAGTAAATGCATAAGTCAAATTGAATGAAGTACATTTTAAAATGTCACATAGAAATATTGTTCAAAACATATTCTTCAGGCTTGTAGAGCTAGTAAACATATCTGGAAGTGAAATCCATTGAGATCGTGTTTCAGGTCGGTAGAGTCCAAAACTCTTAATCTTATTTAGATTATTCTTGCAGCTGTAATCTTTGTATCCTGATGATCGTTCGTTTTAATCATGTTGATCAATAAGGTGCATCGTGAACATATTGTCCATATATGTCTCTGTTCTCCTCTAAAATTCTTTCTAACTGGAAACAAACAAACAAAAAACTAGGAGAGATCATTTATACTCATACTGCTCAAATGTTCTCATCAGTGATCTGATAAACCATTTCATTCACTGGACCTGTCAAAGTGTGTGTTAAAAGACGTGTTCACCTGCAGAAATGCAAATTAACAAATCAAGAGTATGGTGCATGTCATATATCTTAATATCTTAATCTCAATCTGTTTAACTGCTTAAATAATCAGGCAGATGTTTTGGGTGCTCTTTATAAATTTGAAACATAGAGGGAGTCAACACATAACTGTTCACTGCTCAGAGCTGTTTATGGAGAATATGTAGCCACCGTGCAGTGAAACGGTTTTATTTTTAGTATTTTTAAAAATGTCAGCTTGACACAAACGCATATGTTCTCCTTTCAAGAGATTTAAAATTCAAAATTCATAAAAATGTGACAAAATGTTTGTCCTCCTTAAAAATGTTTCAATGTAGTCAGCTGAATATCTCTTGACCGCCTGACAGAACTCTTGAATTTTTCAATTGTGCTTTGAAGTGTCGTCTTATTTATCCAAGTTTACTTTTTATTTTTATTTTATACAAGCGGGCTGTATCTACACAGATATAGGATGCAGTCATAAAAGCATGAAATCCTGATCAACGTGGATCACTCAGATTATGTGGAAGATTTTTCAACACTTCACACTCATTTTCTGACAACACATCGATTATATTACTCTCAGCATAAAGTCCTCCTCCCGATAAATTTAAGTTTACTCTCAAGAGCAAGCGCCTGCAGGAAGGATTCTCTGAGCATAAAGATTGAACTTCTAGGAGCTTTTGAAGCTGCGACAAAATGCCAAATGAGTTTGCAACTGAATATGAACCTCTGCTCATAAAAGACAGAAAAGATAAACAGCGGTTAAAGGTAGGTGAGCTGCAAGAGATGTCAACAAAAGTCATGTGTCTCTTTTTCCCTTTTCTGTACAGGATTTTCAGAAAACATTTGGTCTGAAATACTTCTATCTGTTTACAGCTTCCAAACAAATCTCTGCTGCTGGCTGTGTTTGCTTCCTGCATAGGAGGAACCTTCCAGTACGGTTATAATATATCTGTCATCAATGCTCCCACAATGGTAAATAACCGTCATGATACCATCATTTCCCTGAAATGTGCAGTGACGAGGATGAATCAACTTTGTAGATCTACAGGGGTTAATATTGTTTATTGTTCTGTTATCTGAACAAACTTTGTGAATAAGAGCAAAAAAACATTTTTTCTCTAGTACGTACAAAACTTCATCAACCGCACCTGGATGCAGCGGTACCAAACCAGCATATCAGAAAATGGTCTCACTCTGCTCTGGTCCACTATAGTGTCCATGTTCACTTTAGGAGGACTCGTGGGGGTTTCGATCGGTGGGATGTTGTCTGTGAAGCTGGGGAGGTGAGGACAGAGGAACATGATGCGTGAAACTGTTTCATAACATTATGCTGCTTGTGTCAAAGATTTAAAAAATGGGTGTTTTAGGAGAGGAACGCTGCTGAGTAACAACTCGCTGTCGTTACTGGCTGCTCTGCTGATGGGTCTGAGCGCCTCTGTGGGGTCATTCGAGTTACTCATCGTTGGACGGCTTCTTAGTGGAATTAATGCAGGTAATTATTCAGCAACAAATTAAAAACCGTCACACTAAAAGAGCATAAAATGTTTAAACAGTGACGCAGGTTTTAGTCTAGTTGTTTGCCAAACATTTTACTGTTACAGTTTAATAAGGAATAAAAAAAAAAAAAAGATTTGGCTGAACCACGTCCATCAGATTATTTCTGCATCTAAACTGTTATTTTCTAGAAAAGAATGCACTGAAGACCAGAAAATATTTAATTTCACTGATTGTCTTTTAACTTCTAATAAAGTTGCTGTTTAGTAAAACTATACATTTTGTTCCACTTTTAATGTAAATTAAATCAAATAAAAGCTAGAAGGCTTCACTGGCAATGCTTGTGCCACAATTTTTTTTTTTTGCACTAAACAAAATATTATGAAGCTTAACTTGACGTAATGAGAGAGGGACAACTTTTTAAATGTTATTGATCTCTTTAGGTATCGCCTTATGTGTTCAACCTCTTTATTTGGGGGAAATCGCTCCGACCGCATTACGAGGGGCTATGGGAATGGGAACCTCTATTTTCGTCACTGGTGGCATCTTAACCGGACAAGTGATGGGCCTCAAGTAAATGCTGAACACAAATACCATAAATATCCTAAGGTAAGGTGTAATGATCTGACATGTTTGTGTGATCACACAGGGAAGTCCTGGGAAAAGAAGAGCACTGGCCCATCCTACTGTCCACCACATTTATTCCTGCAATCCTGCAGCTCCTCATCCTGCCCTGGTTCCCAGAGAGCCCACGCTACCTGCTGATTGACAAAGGAGATGATGAGCGATGTAAAAAAGGTAAAATAATTTGGTTAAACCTCGTTCTCTTTTTGTGGATTGCTGTGACCCAGTAGGTCTGAGCAACAATTGAAAAATGATCAATCTAATCCTGATTCCTCCAGTCCACATAGTAAAATGTTTTTGACAAGACATGAAACTCACACATCGCCACAGATTCATTCATAGATTGCTAATTGTGTGCATGAAACGTGTGTAATATCCAAATTATGAATGGGCTTGTACTTTGAGTCAGAACGACCCCAAAAGTTCCACCCAAATGCAAATTAAATAAATTCACCACTGGTCACTGCCTAAGGCAGGGATATTTCTGTCTCAGTGGTTGGCACTTCAAGCATGTGAGCTCTTACGTATGACGCTCTAATGTGGAAAAAAAAAGCAAAATAGTGTAACAGTGGAAACCTTTTGATTGGATCTTAAAATGTCATGCTCCTGCAGCCTGATCAGATGAGAAGAATGGTGTCCACAGAAGATGCCAGTCTGTGTGTGTCATGTGTTTCCCTTTCTGCAGCCCTGAGGCAGCTGCATGGTTCGGCTGACTGTGATGCTGCGTTGGAGGACATTGAGAAAGAGAGAAATAACTTGGTGGGTTATCAGGCCAAGAAACCTTGGGAGCTCTTTTCAGACAGCAGTGTACGCTGGCAGCTTATCACCATCCTTGTGCTCAACACGGCTCAGCAGCTGAATGGCATCAACGCTGTGTGTATGACCTCCTCACTGCGGAAACCACTGATTTACAAGATACAAAGGTGTCAATCAATAAGTCAGACAGATTTTTTTTTTTTTTTAATCTTTTTCCCCCTTCTCTCTTTAGATTTACTTTTATGCAGATTATGTTTTTAGACAAACAGGCATTCCCGTTGACAAAATCCCGTATGCCACTGTCGGCACCGGTGCCTGCGAATGCATAACAGCCTTATCCTGCGTAAGTATGAGTTTCAAAGCAAGTCTATAGTCTTTAAATGTTGTTGTTTAGAAGTTGTTCTGACAGAGAAATGATGACAATGCAAGTAAGAGACAGCAAGTGTAATTCAAAATCAATCATAACAAAAACATCAGAAAAAATTATAAAAATGTCAGTTTTGTTGATCGTGCATGCCCATTGCAACATATCTGATTGAAATGGGTAAAACGAGAAAAGTAAATGTAGAATCTGGAAAAGTTGTGTAATAAAAGCAAAATCACCTGGATTAACTGAATGGATTAAAAAGATCATAACAACAGGACATAAAAATATTGCATAAAGTCTGAGTTTCTCAGGAGCATTATGTTCCCAGAAAGATCTTATAGATAAACACTTTGTCAAAAAGAATATTCAACATTACCTTAGATGGTTTAATTACATCTTATTCATCACAGGGTCTGAAAGAGACAAACAAAGCAGCACTCATATCTAGAGCTCATTTAGAGGTGCTGATTAACTCCTACTGTTAAAAACTGTGGCAGAAACACAAAGAACCTGGAGAAAACCCAAATATGAAGAAGAATGTGCAAAGTCCAGGCAGAAAGGCCTCAGCTTAGTTGTGCATTCCAAGAGTATTGTTTTGTTTTAAAATGAATAGTAGAGTTTAAAAACGATCTCATTTCAAATAACCTTTTGTGTAGAAATAGAACTATGGTTTTTATAGCAAAAACAAAACTATTAAGGCGGCACGGTGGCACAGTTGGTAGAGCTGCCGCCTCTCAGCAAGAAAGTCACCAGATCGAATCCCAGCTGTGGGGCCTTTCTGGGTGGAGCTTACATGTTCTCTCCGTGCATGCGTGGGTTTTGTCCGGGTACTCCGGTTTCCTCCCACAGACTAAAACCATGCATGTTAGGCTGATTGGTAACTCTAAATTGTCTCTAGGTGTGAGTGAGTGAGTGAATGGTTGTCTCGTTTGTCTCTGTGTGTCCCTGTGATGGACTGGAGACCTGTCCAGGGTGTCCCCTGTCTCTCACACAGTGACTGTTGGGCAAGGGCACCAGTGACTCCCGTGTCTCGAAAAGGAAGAAGCAGATAAAGATAATGGATGGATAGAAACCAAACTACTAAATTTATAAAACTCAGTAGTCCAAAGAAAAAGTGAGTTCATTGGGAATAAAGCAGGATGTTCAAATGTTAAACGTGTTTGAGTTCAAGTGAACGCAGCAGGAGGAGTCAGAGGTGAACCTCGCTGCAGGTCCGTCATTCGTTTGTGACCTGCTGCGTGTCTCTCAGGGTCTGCTCATCGAATGTCTGGGAAGGAAAGTGCTCATCTCCGGAGGATACATCCTGATGAGCGTCTGCTGCATTTTATTCACTCTGACCCTCACTTTCCAGGTAACTTTTACCTCTAAACCACAAATATACTCCAAAGTTACAAGCTTTGAGGTGTTTTGTTTATGTGATCTCTTTACTTCAGGATGTCAGCCCAGTTTTTCCTTACCTGAGCATGGCCTGTGTTTTTGCCTTTATCTTGAGTTTTGGCTTGGGACCAGGTAAGCAATTAAAGCAGGAGCCATTCTCTGCACACTCTGTTCTTTCTAAAATAAATAAATAAATAAATTGAGATGGCTGAGGGAGCTAGAGGTGCAGCGGGTGCTGCAGCACCCAGTGATGGATGCTAGAGGATTCATATTCTAATACAAAATTAAAGAATCACAGAAAAAGGCTGATTTTATTGGTGATGCAAACATACAAATTCCAATATTTGGACTGAGTATAGGTCTGGTATAAAAACATGTGAACATGTAACACGTGAGCAAACTTTCACAACCACTTTAAACAGATCAGCTTTAGGTGGCGACTGCAGTTTTACTGATCTTGTTCGTTCATATGAACATATTTAATGTCCACTTTCAGATGAGGCACTGCCACTTAGCATTTCACTGTATACATTCTAATATTTTTTACACCGCGAGTTGCACATGTTCACATACGCTCACAGCACCAAACAATGAAACATGGATTGATTATTGATTGAATTTCTGTGAAGGTGGTGTGACCAACATCTTAACCATGGAGCTCTTCACTCAGACCTCTCGCCCCGCTGCGTTCATGATCGCTGGATCAGTCAACTGGCTCAGCTTCTTCTTCATCGGCTTGGTCTTCCCTTTCATTGTGGTCGGTCCTCGGAGTTATACTTCTTTAAAGAAATCTTTATGTTGAAAAGTTTTATGGTCTGTTTGTGTCATGAAGTCTTCTCTTACAGATTGGGCTCCAGCAGTACTGCTTCCTGGTCTTTTTGGCTGTCAGCTCCTTGGTGGTGATCTACATCGTCCTCGTTGTTCCTGAAACAAAGAAGAAAACGTTTGTGGAGATCCAAAATGAGTTCCAGACCTTAAACAAGAAAAAGTCCTGTGGCGCTGACGGAGCAGGCACGGTCCTCTTATCAACACCTTTGTGAAATGTTCCCCGACTCCTTCTCTGTCACTCACATCAAGGATTCAAAGTTCTCACAAAAACATCACAGAGATGCAACATGAATCAAAGCATGAATAATAAATACATGTACAAAGTAATACAGGAAGCTGTCACACATGTTCTGAGTGGATTCTTATCATCAACAAACATTATTTCTATTTATCTTATGTGCAACGTCCACATGTTTTAATTGTTTCTTTGTACTTCAACTGGGGATGATAAACAAAGTTTCCTAACTGGTGTGAACAAGTTAAAGGTAAAACCATTGCAGCAGCAGTCTGGGTTGCATGAGATCATGCAAACAGAGTTTGTTCAAGGTTCTTTATTGTCATTCGCATCACATGTGGTACATGAGGTGGATGGAAATTGTGTACTCAAGGTCCCAGTTACACCCAAAAATAGCAAAAAAGATAAAGTATAAAAAGAAACAGTTTACAAGGATCTAAGATATACACTAAGCACTAATAATGTAATATAATGCAGTGTTTTAAACAGCAGCCTGAACATGAGTCTTGTGAGCAGATGGATATATATATATATATATATATATATATATATATATATATATATATATATATATATA